TTACACCTATGCTTTATTGATGGAAGTGTTGCTTTTTTTTATTTTAGGTGTGGAACGTTTGTCTACTAATATGGAAGAGGGCAATGTGGATATCTCCAGCTTCTTTTCCCCATTTGGGACAAGGGAGGTGAGCTTCTCAGAGGACAATTTTGACAAACTGGTGAAATTAACAGAATACAACATCCTCAACAATGAAAGCAAGATAATTGAAGCCTTTCATGCTGCAGTGCAGAGGAAAAAATATCAGAAGAACCAGAAATAACAGATATCAGTAATACAACACAGTTCCAAGATATTAACCCCTATTAATTTAGGAGTAAATATAGTGTCTAATATATGTTAATATGTTAATGGTTGTAACTGGTAGACTTCTAAATAAAATGCATTTTACTTTTTTAAAAATAGCATCTGATTTAATTACTTAGCTGAGATTGAAGGTCATGTTGCCTTTTTAGTTGCATAGACCTGACACTTCCTTTCTGTTTTTGACCAATGTTTTTTTCCTTCCTGTTTCTATTTGCAGTTAACAGAGGTTACTCTGGACTGCTTTGATATTTATTTAATTGACTGTGTGTTCTGAAGTAGTCTCACAACATTCAATGGTTCTACAAGATATGCAGAGAGATTAAAATCTCCATAATTATAAGAAAAATAAAAATGAGCCAGTCTGGTGTAGTAGTTAAGGTATCAAGCTAAAAACCAGGGAATTGTGAGTTCCAGTCCTGCTTTAGGCACAACGTCTTGGGTGATCTTGGGCCAGTCACTTTCTCTCAATCCAAGAAGGAGGCAATGGCAAACCACTTCTCAAAAACCTTACTAAGTAAACTGATGGAACCAAAGAAATTAAACACTACATCATAAAAAAAAAATCACAGAATTAACAACCATGTATAACATAAAAATAACAAGTAAAAGATGGTATAGTGCATAAGTGTCACTGGAATTTGTGCTGGAAAAGCTCAGTTTTTAACAACCTTCAAAATGGTATCAAGTAAGATTCTAGTCTGATCTCCACAGGGAGACCAGTCTACAGTTTGGGACTGCCACACTGAGAACACTGCCTTCTGACTTCAACCCTCGTGATTCCTAGAAGGGTGGGACCACAAGACTTCTTCCTCAGGGTCAGGCTGATTCAGGCTGGAGAAAGTGGTCCTGCAGATGCCCAGATAACAAGATATAAAGAGCTTTATATAGTAAAATCAGCCCTCTGTCCAGAACTGAATTAGTAACCAAGGCAAGGTCTATTGCACTTACATGCTCCCAATTTTTGCTTCTTAACACAGAGGCCAAAATGTTCTAGACCAGCATTTAGGTTGTGAATTATTATAATTGGGTCTTCCTGTACCAGGTAAGGCCACAGTTGGTGTGCCAGCCAAAACCGGTTAAGCCACAATGGACACATCGGCAGAAGCCAAAGCTTACATAAGATGCTCAAACAGGATCTGTGAATGCAGAAGGACCCCAAAATTGTAAGCCTGCTCTTTCACAGACAACACTTGCCTGCCCAGAAATAAGTTCTCATTCACTAGAACCTTCTACTGAAGAAGAACAGAAACACTGTAAGGCATTGCCTTATATCCCTAACTCCTGTGGATGGCCCAGTAACGTAGCCACTTTAAATGTTATCAAAAAACACTTAGAAATATAAGAAGATCAGGAGAGTACAGCATTCCATCCAGGTCTTGACAAAGATCACCCAGGAGAAAGCTAAAACCATCTCAGTTCGATATTTGGGCCTGATCAAAAAGAATCAGTTAATCCACTTTTTCTAGGGTGCTGTGGAGTTTATCTGCCACCAATGTCTCATCCCCTCCACTCCAGTCTAGTGATTCTCAATTAGATCAGGATATGATTTGACCACAGCAAAAGGGTAGTGGAAATCCCTTTTCTCTCCAAATCATAGAACTCAGCTACATACACACACACATACCAGGGGTGGGTGTAACTTACCTTTGCTATCGGTTTCCTTGCTCACTCGTGCTTGCTTTGTCGCACGCACCATTCTGTTCATGCACAGAAGTTTCTGTGCATGCGTAGATCGAATTTGATGATGTCTGGGCAGGAGCCTCCTGCCGCTGCTGCTACCTGTTTGCCCAAACCGGGGCGAACTGGTAGCAACCCACCATTGACACACACACCACACAAAGACAAGGTGTAACATGTAACCTTCATTTATCAGGCTTGGATATTATCAGAACTGTGTTCCCAAAGCATAGAGGTTGAAGCTCTTTAGGAAAGAACATTAACCCAGAGACCATCTCCAGCAATCCATGAAGAGTTCTGTCAGGCAGCAGGGTGGCTGGTACACTAGCAGAATCTCAAGTTTGTCTCTACAACCCAACCTATCATATTGACATTCACATTATGTATGGTGGGAGCAGAATAATTGACCACAGAGTGATTTGTTACTTTTATTCTACCAACTCCTATTGAGCCCGCTGAAGTATTTGATACACAGTTGGGTAGATTTCAGGCAAGGCAATATCATAGCAATTGCTCAGCCAGATTTTGGTAATGCATGCCAGCTCTGCTGCTTCATCCACCAGCAAGTCACGGATATAGGGGGTCTTGCTACAAACAAACCTGGCATTAAACCCCTATACCTTGATTTCAAGATCTCCAGCAATTTGGCAACCTGTTTCTAGAATGGAGCCATAAGGTGGGAAGTCAAGATAACCAGCCACTAAATTGGAAGCCAGTGTATTCTCATAGTGGCCACCCTGATGAATGCCAAATGATGGTATACATCTCCACAAGGAGATGTAGCAAGGACAAGACTAGTGCATGGCACCTGCAGATGCAGGAGTATTAATATTAAGGATTTCTGGCCAGGGGCACTGTGCCTTATGTTTTTATTTTATTAGGAACTGATATTTAGAAATACGTCTCTTGAGACCTCATCTTGCAAAGCTAAAAGGACATATTATCCAGGAAGCAAGACAACACTTTTGAAAAACAACACATGAGACTCCTGACTCTGATCAGTTATAAGTAACTACATTGTCACCTAGTGATTAGTGTATGTAATGACACTATCCACCGGGATATTTTCATGCCACTGTCATTTTTCGTACAACTAGTTTGGCAGGTTTTTCAAACATCCCAAAACTTTAAAACAAATAAGGTACAAACACAAGAGAAAGTGAAAACATTTTCCTACTGCTATTCTACCTTCAGCTCTGTAAAAAAAGTAATCCTCTATTTCCAGTCTGAGAAAGAAAAAAAAACCAAACAGGATAAAGTCTTCCTGATTAGATATAACCCAATCTTTGCTGCAATCTTTTCTAATTTTCAGAAGGCTGCTTATATCCTTCACCTGTATTCTTTGTTTTAACCAAAGTTTTGACTTTCTTTTAGCTACAAGGAACAAGACTTTCACACCTTTGATTCTAGTTTCCACAATTGCATGGGCAAGAATGTGCCACACACATCATTAGAGTTCTTTGCCTGGATACCCTGTCTAGAGTTCTATTCTTAGGTTAAAGAAAATCATCACCCTCTTTTTATTGTACCTATGTTCTACCTGATTTTGGGTATATGAAATGAGAAAGATCATTTTGTATGTTGTTGTTTTGTTCAGTCTGTAAGTTGTGTCTGACTCCCTGTGACACCATGGATCATAGCACATCAGGCTGCCTCTCTTCCACTGTCTCCTGGAATCCACCCAAACCAGGGGTGAAATCTACTTACCTTCCCTACTGGTTTGGAAGGGCGCGCTGTGCACGCTTGCTTGGACCCTCTGCGCATGCGCAAAGTCTTCTGCGCAAGCGCAGAGGGTCAAAAACAGGTTACTTCCTGGTTAATACCAGGAAGCATTTCACCCCTGACCCAAACTCATGCCCACTGCGATAATGACAATATCTAACATCTTTTGCTGTCGTCTTCTCCTTTTGCCTTCAATTTTTCCCAACACCATGGTCTTTTTCCAACAACGTTTTATATGAGATTGCACAAATGTCTGTTTGATGAAGCCTCTGATTGCTACATGGCCTTCCTGTGTGGTCCTGTTTCTGCTGTACTTTTGAACTTTGCATTGTTATTGAATGAAATAAAGTGGGAAGAAACCCAAAGCAGGAGAGAAGATGAAATAACATACAATCTCTATGGTATAAAAATTAAACCAGTTTCTAGATTTCTATTTCCTGAGTTCTTGAAAACTGTCTAGAGGAATCAAGGGAAGTCAAATAAAGAAAGCTTTTGTGTACTATTGTGACACATGCTCTGCCCCTTTTGTAGTTTATTGATTGTGCATATGAAAGGGATGAAACTTGTGTCGTGATGGTGTGATGCTGCTTTTGTTATTTTGAGGAAAGCATTGGACCCTTTTATCAACTCTGAGCTAATATTGATTTTTGGCAGTCTCCCTGAAATATATGTAAGTTCTAAAATGTCTAAATTACTTAATGCATTACCAACCTGGTCTTTACCCAATACAACCAATGCTTATCAGAAATTATGATGAAGAAATATACAATGTAAGATTGCATTGACATAAGTATGAAGAGTAGAGATGTCCATCCTTTCCTTGAACTGACCTCATGAAGAACCAATTGGGTCTCCTCTTCTAGTAGGCTATCTGCTTCTATCATCTCTTGAAGTTAGCTGGGATAGGTTTTGCCTTCTCTGTATTATCTTGATTTTTCTGCTTTTTAATTATCATGTTTTCTTCAATTGCTTTATATAGTTAGGAGCACATTCAAATAAAGATCCATGTGCTTAAGGTTAACTAATTCAACATTAAGAGGTCACAGCTTCCTTCACTAATGTTATCAATTCCATTATGATCATCATTGTTTTTGTCATCAATTTTATTTATGTTGTACTTTTCTGACCAGTGTGAAGCTGCAAGTGGATGTCTGGTATGCTGCTTCATTGCTCTTAGCATAGTAGTTTAATGAAAGCGATTGCTTCACTTTTATGAGAATTAAGTGGGGCGGAGCTGTGAGCCAGATTGTAAAATACCTGTTCATCAACTCCTGAATTTAAAGAGCACACATTTGTTTTATCCATCACTGTCTGTTGGGAAACTGTTGTGGGATCTGTCAGACAAGGAACACAATGGGATTATTTCAAAGTAAACAACAGGTAAGATGCTTGAGAAAACCAGTTGAACTCAAGTTTATCGCTAGCTCTTTAGGAGTTTTAACTAAACTATTATACATCATCATTTTCTGACATCTTCAGTTTTATGGAATATTTATTTTTAAGCAGTTGACTGATATTTTCATACATATATCTTGTTTTATGCACCTGGGTATTGAAGGTTGTGAGAATTGTCATACTCAGCTAACTAAGATACTGGCTGGCTGAAAGCAAAGGAAGCTTTAAAATCCTTGGGATTCTGGTGCTGTCTTAATTTGTCAACTAGCATGTAGATTAAGTACCTGTGCTGAAATATTGACATGGCTCTCATCTGTGGCCAGCTGTAGTCTATGGTTCCTCCTATGACTCCAGTGTTATGGTAGAGGGGATATTCTGTTGATGCTAATAACTAGCTGGTCCATGCTGGTGAGTTTATGTTTGCTGAAACAGATTCAGACTTTCAGGCTTATTTACTTTTCAGAGCTAAAACATAACTTTACAGTAGGATGGGTAGATGGGTATACTTTGCATTGTACAGGAAAACATCAAAAATAGGAGTTTTGTATGGACATGTCAGCAGTTATACAGAGACATTTTACAAATATGTTTTGGTGCTCATAACCCTCTTTTTAAAAATGGGTACATCTGTTGAAATTTACTGGCAAAAGAAGGTCTCGGAATTGGAATGTTCAACAAGCTTTTGATCATCATTATTATTTTTTTTAAATGTAAGCTAGGTAATTAATTTTGTTCCTGATGTGTAAAACTAATATTTTCAGCATTATTAATCAAAATAATTAGAAGCAATGACTTGGGATTGAAACTTCAGAGGTATATCATTTACCCTGATTTAATTAGCTTATTTTTCTCTGTGTCTCCCGTCTTCATACAAAACTCTCTTTCTGTAGTCCTAACATAAAAGCCTATAATATGCCATTTCCTAATCTTATAAGTGCATAATGCACATAAAATGTAATTTTCGGAGAATCCAAGGTTTATCCATAAATATTTCTGTCAAATTCAGAATACTGGCAAAATCTTTCAGCCCAAACTGAAAAGATGTAGAAGAGCCATTTGCAAGTGTTTTTTGCTTCATGCTACTTAGAAATGATTCAGGGCAATCTGAATAATAGGAAAATAATTAAATAATGAATTACTACCATGCAGAAAAATGGCCTTGGTAAGATGACTTAATCATGGGGCAGGGGCAGTGGTGGGTTTCTACCAGTTCACCCCAGTTCAGGCAAACCACTAGTGGCGGCTGTGGGAGGCTCCGCCCACCCACCCAGATGTCATCACAGATGCTCTGTGCATGAGCAGAAGGTTCTGCACATGCCCAGAAGCTCCTTGCATGTGCTCCCAGTTCCAAACCAGTAGCAAAGGTAACTACTGAGCAGGGGGATATATTTGACTGTTCAATTACTGTTTAGGTAGCTTATCAAGGACTTTGAATGGCAAAAACTCTATTGGTGGCTCAGATAAATCATTATATATATATATATCCTGAATTTTTGCCAGTTGGCAGATCGCAAAGTTGAAAAGTTTGTTCAAAGGTAAAGTTACACCAATGCAATGATGTATGAAAGCTCAGTCTTTCCAGCTCATCCTCACGTTAACAGTAAAATAGGAATTTGCATATGGCTTCAGTGACAGGATTTTCAAAGTTTACTAGTGCCTCCAACTCTAGGTGATCACAGTAAACGTATCTCATGGAATATTTGGAGCTTTGATAAAGTGATGATCAAGAAAGAAGTTGAGTGTCTATAGGCTATTTGAAGGTAGATGGGAAACATTGCAGTATTGGTACATTGGTACAATCATTCTGTTAGGAAACACCCAGACAGACAGTGGGGGAGTTCTCAAATAGGGAATTAGTCTGGAATCCTTGCACAGCAACAAGGAATCCAAAACTGATCCCCTCTAATCTCCATAGAGCCTTATCTACTTGTTCCCATGGGAAGGATGACAGTCTGGAGAGATTCCCTTATAATTGTCAGAATATAATAAAGTAATTAGCTTGAAGCCCACAGTTGTGGATCTGGTTCCTTGCGCCTGACACATTCCTAGGCAAGGACAGGCTGCTGAATAGGTATCAGCTTTACCAGACAGGAAACAGAACCAGATAAGCCAATTCTACTTTATTTTAAAGCTACATTAATGTAAATTTGAAAGTTTGAAAGTAGAATTCTCCCGCTGTCTCTTTTGCAGCCCAAGAAACCAGGGAGGGTCCCTTCTGAATGTCTTGTTCCACTCATTGTCCAGCTGTGGACTATGCTGTTACTTATCTGACTATTCGCTAGCAGGATCTCTTCATCCCATCTCTCAAGATCTTTTGCATATACATTACATTGGGTTACATAACAGGATTGGTCCTACCATGAGATAGAGTGAGGTGGCTGATGCTGGAAGGTAGAACCAAGGCATTAGGAAGAATGACCTCCATAAGTTCCTTGCATAGCGTGCATCTTTCAGGTGCAGTAAAACTCACTACCTCATTCTATTATTGGGATAAATTGGAAAGAAAAAATTAACTGCCCTGCCAATTGAAAATTGCACACCGAACTAACTGAATTGAAAAAGGAGACTTCAATTATGCTAGGTTAAAACAATGCCTGTTTATAAGATCAAAGCTGCCCATGTAATTTTTAGTCTTATTGACTAACCTATCCAAGTAAACAAGGAATGTTTTCTTTTGGTCATCCTGATGATCCATCTAGTCCATGGTTCTGCCAAATCATTCCTGTTACACGCTAATAATGTTAACATTACAAGTAGTAATTTCTAAAACCACAAAGGAGGAAGGATACAAGGAAGTACTGAAAGGTACTGTTCATTTCCTTTCTTAGTGCAATTACCAGTGGTGGGTTCCTACTGGTTCACCCTGGTTCGGGCAAACCGGTAGTGGCGGTGGCGGGAGGCTCATCACGGATGCTCTGCGCATACCCAGAAGGTTCTGAGCACAGTCCTTATGCACAGTCACTCATGCCCTCGTCACTTCTCGCCTGGACTACGGCAACACCCTCTACATGGGGCTCCCCTTGAGGAGCACCCGGAGGCTCCAACTGGTCCAGAATGCGGCTGCGCGGGTGATTACGGGAGCAACATGGTGCTCCCATATAACACCTCTCCTGCACGAGCTGTACTGGCTCCCAGTGGTCTTCCGGGTATGCTTCAAGGTGTTGGTTCTCACCTTTAAAGCACTCCATGGCTTAGGGCCAGGGTATTTACGAGACCGCCTTCCGCTACCGATAACCTCCCACCAGCCAATACGCTCTCACAGAGGGGGCCTCCTCAGGGTGCCGTCGGTCAAGCAATGTTGGCTGGCAGCCCCCAGGGAGAGAGCCTTCTCTGTGGGAGCATCTGCCCTGTGGAACGAGCTACCTCCCGGAATACGCCTGATCCCGGACCTTCGTACCTTCCGTAAGGCCCTGAAGACTTACTTATTCCACCAAGCTGGCCTAGCCTAAATAGTTCTTAATTGGGATTTTAAATTTTATAGACTTGGAGGTTTTAAATTGGGAAGCCAATGATTTAATTCTTTTTAATTATCTTAACTTTTATATTGTATGTATTTTTAATTTTGGCTGTTCACCGCTCTGAGTCCCTTCTGGGAGAAGGGCGGTATACAAATTAAATTAAAATAATAATAATAATAATAATAATAATAATAATAATAATAATAATAATAATAATGTGCAGAAGCATCGCATGCACGCACTCCTGGTTCTGAATAGGTAGCAAAGGTAAGAGGAACCCACTACTGGCAATAATGTATGCTGCACCACCATCAGTAACACAATTAGACCTCTACAATTTAAAGAAGTAACAAAAATAACTTAATAAGGGTGACAAAAGTCTTTGCAGTTTTATGATAACACTCCCTTATCTGGGCTGGAAGGCATATTATTGTACTGCAGTAGCAGTAGGGTTGATGGAAACAACTATCTATGCAGTTTTGAATTGTAGAGAACTATTGGGCCTACAAGGTTTGGTATAATTCTATCCCCATTATATGTAGTTTTGTATTTATACATAGTAGAATACAGCTGCACGATATAGTATTGTTGTGAATCAAAGCAAAATTCAACAGTGAGCACTTCTTCAGGGATTCTGAAGAAACAGAACATTCTCAGAGAGAAAATGAACGTTTCTCTCATCCCGAAAAGAAAAGGATATTTCTTGAAATACTTGCAATTCATTGTGGTTGCAGATTCACTATTTCATCCAGGATGGGATCTCAGAATTTCACTGGTAACATTGTCTGAAAGAACATTATCCTGAGGGAAATACATGGATTTTATGTCTTTGAAGCCTTGTATTCCATCTGGATGTTTGCTTCTTGGAAATAACAGTGGAGCGAATTTTTGCCTGTTTGAGGATTTTTCATTTAGTATTGCATGTTTTTGGTTTGTATGTTTTTCATAGTATATTTGTAGAGATTATATCTTCCACTTTAGGTAGAAATGCAAAAGGAAATTAAATAGTAGTAACACGTCCTGTCTGCCTTCCTACCTGCTTTTCTACTTAAAATAACAAACGCAGGACTTTTTTTAAAAAAAAATCGCATATCTGGTTGAACTTGAAATGATAATTCTCTAGAGGTAGATATGCTTGACCTTGTTGTCATATGTTCCAGTGAGCAGTCCCTTATCAGTTGCATGTTAGAGCTTAAGTAAAAGATGTAATCAATTCAACTTTATTGCAAAATATCAAACAAGAAAGGACCGAGTATCCTACCCTTGGCAAAGTCTTGTACAGCCATGCAAACAGATGCATTAATTAACCAGTATCGGCACAAGGCAATTTGGTGCCTGAGGTTCCAGAATATACACAGGTTCCTCCCTGCCGGGTTTTACCTGATTTTCAGATTCTTTTAATTAAAGAGCAGACTAAATGGGGAGCTGTCAGCCACATCTATTTTTCCAAGACTGCACTTTCCAAACTCCAAGTAGTTTCCATAAGTAACAAAAGATGATGGCTGCAATTCATTGGTTCATTTGGAAAACTGTTCATCTCTTTGGAAGAAAAGATATAGATGATCAAGAGGGAAATCCTCAGCAGTCTGGGTATTTGTGACTGTCCATACCCCTGTGGGAGTCATTTCACAAAGAGGAAAGTACTCCATGATAGAGAACTCATAACTGATTTTTCAAATTTAATTCCCTGATGTAATATACTTCCATTTGCCTTTGCATTTGCATGTCTTCTATTTCAGAGCAACAGTCTTTGTCTGGAAGAACAGACTATTGATTGTCTTGGGGGTGGGAGAATATGATTTTATTTTTGCCTTTTTGCTTAAGGATATATAGAATAGTAGCCAGCCAGATAGAAATTCTTCTATCAACACTCTGAGGGAGATTAGTGGTTAAGAAGTTTGATCTGTCTCTCTCTCTCTCTCTCTCATATCAGCTATCTCATCATCATCTCTCTCAATCTCTCTCTCTCTCATCACTAATCATCTCTTTCTCATCTCTTTCTCTCTCTCCTATCCCTCTTTCTATCTCTATCTCTCTACCTCCAACACCATCACCATGTGTCCATGTCCCATGTCTATGTCTATCTATAAATACAGTAAACTAAATATTAATTGAAATTTTCTATTTATTTTCATTCTATAGACGGAACCAGCTCCTTGTAGTCTCCTCACAGTAAAGATAATAAAAATCAAGAACCTCCGGAAAGCAGATCTATGTGAGTTCCACAACTTAACTTTTGGTTAGAATCATAAGGAAGAAAAAGATCACAAGGAAGTTGAAATAGAGTATAAGATAAATCAACAGTCTTTTTCAATGCTAAATGTACATGATTAGGCCAATGATTATTTTTACTTTTGGAAACCTCATATGAAGATTATGTATGCAAATGTTGAAAACTGATGGGATTAGTACCATTATGATATGTCATGAGATGTTGTAAATTCACGACATTTCAGCCATTGAGGCAATCTATTTTCTATGTTTGGTCAATATCATTAAAAATGAATAGCAAATATTTATGAAGTATTTATTTTTACAATATTTATTGTGCATCCTAATCCTAATGGATTCTGATGTACACAATAAAGGTTGGAAACAAATGCCTTAAACACATATATAAATAATAGAAACTGTAAAGAGTAAAACTACTAGAAGATCATAGGCACCATTCACTTAACACGTAACATCTGGACGAGTAAACAAATGTTAACTGATAATAAATCACAATAATGTTAATATGAACATTTCATGTTATCATCACACATATTGCTTTACAATGTCTGATGCAACTATGTATGTAAAATTATTAGCATAATAATATCATGCCACATATTATTTGTTTAACGACTTTCTATAGATGCCTATCATAGGTAACATTTTCATCGATATGTATTTTCATTTTTCATTAAACTGTAAAGGACAAAGTAGTTTTTTAGGCTTTACTGTTTTATAAGATTTGGGGGAAATGGACAAGAAATCCACCTTAGATTCACAAGGAGAGATGTTGGATAAGTGTTTCCAATTTCCTCCAAAACTTTTAACCAAAAGTAATAATTAAATAACATGGTCAACTAAAGCACTAATATGTACACAGAATGGATTAGGAGAAAAATGTATACAATAAATGCACTGTTTATTTTACTAAATCATTTAGTAAACGAAGAACAATACGTTAAATTTTGTTTTAAATATATTATGGGGAGGTACAGGTGCCATGTACAAATACATCAAATATCCGTGGGTGCCATGCTACCAGTTCTTCATGAGATACGCAGAACCAATTTAGCACAAATGCTACTATAATGAATGCTAAAACCATAAATGCCTTAAGCAAATAGCACTTAATAGCTTTTTTCCCATTTATTCTTAGCTTAATCTTAGGATAAGTCACACTGATCATGCTGACAGAATCTAGTAGCTATTGTAATGGCTAATCACACTTAAATTGGTTAAAGAATGAATAGGATGTTTTATGAAAGCCAAAAAATGTGGGCCTCTCAGAACCTCAAAACCACAACTAAATGAAATTCTTCCAGCTGACTATGAAGAGGGATTAAAAAATTAATAGGTGGCTGCTAGGACAGACATGAATTGCTAAAGCTATTCCATAAACAGTGCTTGCCTAAATATTCTGGGTCTTTACTTTTCAGTTCCTTGGAAAGCATGGGACAAAGGCAAAAAAAAAAAAAAAAAAAAGACAGGGACGGGTAATTCTTCCAAATCTGTCTGTGGTAATGTCTATTCAAATCCCAGTACTGCAAACATTTTTTTCTTCAAAATTCCTCCAACCTCCCAAGAAAGGAAAAGAAAAGAAAATGCATTAATCCAGGAAGTGACGATCTCACAGCCAACCTTGTGGTATCTGGGAAGCTCTCAGAATTGTTTGACTGAGGTACATGTGATTATGAGCAGGTGAGAGGCTCACTGGGTCAGTCATGTCATGTGCATAAAGTTATTATCTCCTAGGGATGGAATAATGGTATTTCTGCACACAAGCTAATTTGTCCTTAATTAAACAAACAAGCAAACAGATTTACTGTTGAATAGACAAGTAAAGATGGAATGTAAACACGTACAGTATATGTTTGGGACATAACTGTGAGTCTGCCACTGAAAATACCAATACATCAAGGTTTCCATTAAATCATCAACTAAAGCAGGGGTGGGCAAATGTGGCCCTTTTACAACCTGTGGACTTCCACTCCCAGAATTCCTGAGACAGCTTGGCTGGCTCAGGAATTCTGGGAGTTGAAGTCCACAGGTTGTAAAAGGGCCACATTTGCCCACCCCTGAACTAAAGCCAACAAAAATATCAATGATATCTGGTTCTGAAAAGCTTGACCAATTGCAACAAGAAGGCAGGCAACATTCTGACCTGGTGTGCATTTTAAAGGACTTATTGAAGTACATTTTCCTATGGGAAAGTTGCTTACAAGCGTGAACATGTTATTTAGAAAAGTCCCTAAAACAATGCATACCTTTGGAGCACTAAGGAAAGGTATTTTTATGCAAACTTTTTCTGCTAAGTTTGTAAACAGGCACGAATGAAAACACATGATCAGTCAGGTAGGGCATTCAGTGAAAATCACATTGAGAGCTCCACCCATCCATATGGAAATCTAAGTTTCCATGACTAAGTATAATTTTCTTCCTGTATGTAACCATTCCATGTGGAAACAGATTTGGATGTGGCTTGCATTAAAAGAAGCGCTAGTTCCACCCAAATAAGTTTTGTGGTGTTATTGGCATTTGAAGAAACATCATGCTAATCTGAATATTTGAATCAGCTGTCTAATCTTTGTATACATATTTCAATTTGGCTCTATTAAACATTTGATAGTATTTTGGCAAATATATATATTTGTGGTTTTACTGAGTAAGACAGCTGTTGAAATACACGCAAACACATACACATCTCTCTCTCTCTCTCTCCCCTCCCCAAAGTTTCAAGATATTCTATACTGTATCAAATATATATTATATAGCATAATAGCTACTTTCCTATAGAAGAGGAAACAATAAATTGCCTCCCTTCCAAATATGAACGTTTAGGGATATCCCCATAATGCCTTTTTTTGGCACATACAACGACCCCCCACTACCACTTCCTAAAAGATTTGTGTGTTCAGTAACACAAAATGTTGCCTAATATGTGTGAAAAAAAAAGAGAGGGCTGACCAGAATGTCAAGTTTGCCTTCTCCTTCCAAAAGGAGGTCACGAGTGTTCTTTAACATTCATGCTTGCAAATTTATAAACTCATCTATAAATAATACTTAGGCTAATTTATAGAGAGGCAAACTCACCCATAGTTATAATTTAATATTAATTGGAAGGTAGGTTAACAAGGTAACCCAAGTAAATGTGAATTGTTTGGGTGAGCAATTTGAAGCCCCCGCCATTCTTTTCTTAACGTGCTTTGAGGCTCCTTTGATTGACTTACCAATTGCTAAACTGCTCTCCATAATTTACCTCGAGCCTTGTAATAACCCAGATTGTGTGATTTATCCATGGTTCTGTGTGACATGCAAAACTAGAAAACTGGATTGACTAATTGGTTCAATTAATCTTAGTTAAGGAACAAGCCTTCTGGAGCGGCTGCATAGATAAAGAACATTTGGAATGATGCACACGGCAGAGCAATTCATAAGAGTATATGCAAAAAGACTGTGGGGTTCTTGGTGCTCTCTGAGCTTGGTGGTTTTCTTTAAATTTTATTACCATACTAGGTAACATCATCAGTGCTAGAAGGGATTGTGGTTTGCTCTTATTTTTATATACTAGTGGATTGCCCTGTCAGTATTGGTGGAAAGTTCTTGAGGGTTCCTTGATTAGGTTGTTTACTGTTAGCTTGTTTGTCTCCATTGATAGTTCCTTGACTGTTTATATTTTTAAAAAAGGGAAAAAAATCATAGTTAATGGTGTCATGCAGAGGTGGTATTCAGCAGGTTCTGACCAGTTCTGGAAAACTGGTAGTGGAAATTTTGAGTAGTTCAGAGAACCGGTATATACCACCTCTGACTGGCCCCGCCCCCATGTATTCTCTGCCTCCCGAGTCCCAGCTGATCAGGAGAAAATGGGGATTTTGCAGTAACCTTCCCCTGGAGTGGGTGGAATGGAGATTTGACAGTACCCTTCCCCTGGAGTGGGGAGGGAATGGAGATTTTACAGTGTCCTTCCCCTGCCACGCCCACCAAGCCATGCCCATCAAGCCATGCCATGCCACGCCCACCAAGCCACGCCCACAAAACCGGTAGTAAAATTTTTTGAATCCCACCACTGGTGTCATGGGAACACTACTTGTGTTCTCGGATAAATGGAGAACATCTTCAAAGAGCTATCTGTCTGTTGATAGCTGCTTCAAAAGAGACCTGTCCTATATTAACCAGGACATGCTGGGGCTGCCCAAATCACCCCAAAAGTCACTTTGCAAAAGCAACCCTCCTTAAAGTTTTGAGAAAGTTACATGTTTGGAAGGCTTCCTGGATTTCTTGTTGTTCTTGTTGGTTTCCTGTGGCTTGTCTACATGAATATACACACACTTCCATAGACGGAAATCTCATTATTTAATCAGCAGTCTCAAGACTTTCCAGGGTCACAGTTGCCTCAGTTGCTTTGAAAAGAGTCATTTTGCTTATGCAAAATTATTCTCCTTGAAATCCTTTGCACAGACATGGATGTCTTGGGAAATTACAATTTGTAACTATTTGCCCCAGTCTACCTTGATCCTTTTCAGCTAGTCTTTGCAATTGGATTGAGAAATGATATATTCTATTCAACAACCTATCACCGCACATAGTTACCCTCTGGCTTAATGATACTGCTGTTCTTTGCAAACAAGTTACTTTTAATTTTTTTAAAAAAATGCAGATTTCAATAGAATCTGTTGAAGCAAATGACTCTTGATTACAATCAATTACAAGTTGTGGCCTGTGTAATGCAGCAAACATGTGATCAACAGTAACTCCTCTGAGTTTTAGAAAAAAATGGAATGCCTAATCCCATCAAAAATTATAGCTATAAATATGAAGGATGTGCCTTTCCTTAAAAAAAAAAAGGTGCAAGTATCCTAAACATGGAAATGTTTAAGGTAAAAAGAACAAAAGGCAACTTCCAGACAACAGGAATTATTTGTGAACTGGTTTGGCCAGCCAAAGGAGCATTCCATGATGAAAGTATTGAAATTGCATTTGGAATTTAAAATATAGGTTGCATTT